ATCAAGTGAGAGGTTCAAAGAGATTAGTTTAGATTACTGGATACTGGTAAAGAGACTTTGAGGAACATTTAAAAATTATTTTCCTTGCATTATAAGAAAGAACTGAGGTGACATAAAATGCATTTTATGCTATTTCCCTACTCAAGTCCTAAAAATCATAGTGGCACCATTTTAGATTTGCCATTAGAATGAATTCAGTAGCATTTTGTCCCAATGGGCCCTGCTCAGAGAGTAACTATGCCTGAAAATAAATGTGTTCATAATAAAAGGATTTCAAGGAAAAGGGCCAACTTTTCCCCGAATGGATGAAGATGCGAAATTTTGTTTAAGCAGTATTCACAGTGGTGATAGGGATTAGGTTATGGTGACGGAGATGGAAATGCTGTCTACCTTTGTGTAAATCCTGTCTAGCACTGCTCTACCAGAGGAGTGGGCAGAAACTGACAAAACAAACAAATATCAGAAAGACTACACTGTCAATATATCTAGGTTATAAACTGATCCAACATTTGAGAAGGAGGTTTTAAAATATTAAATGGTTTCTTTATATCTTAACATAGAATAAACAGTTATTGGCTTGTTAATTATTCTAACAATTCCATTATTATCTTCTCTACTCCTTTATTGTTATTTATTTATTTGAGAGAGAGAGAGAGAGAGAGACCATGCATGAGTGGGGGTTGGTGGTGCAGAGGGAGAGTCCCAAGCAGACTCCGAGCTGAGCACAGAGCCCTAGGTGGGGCTTGATCTCAGGACCCTGAGTTCATGACCTGAGCTGAAATCAAGAGTCTGATGCTTAACCGATGAGATGGGGCCATCCTAGCTCCCCTATTGTTATTTTAGAGCCTTAATTATCTCTTCACAAAGGGGAAGGGGGAACAATTCCTTTCAAATTTTACTTCTATAAGGATCAAGCTCTACTCTAGGTTATATATGGTCCTAAGCAGCTTGGTTAAAATAGTTACAGAATGAGTTACGGACTCAAACAAGGATCAAAAAGTATTTTCTAATTTTAAGATTCTTATTCTTATATTCTTATAAAATATTCCATAGACAAACATCCTCAAAAACTTAAATGCAATTAACTTTTAATTATATACATAAACAGAGAGGGATAGGTGCTATTAATAATTTAAAAGTAGCTAATTAAAAATAATTTATATTTGGCTTTGGAAAGCCTTATAATTCCCTCTGTTTTTCTTTCTTAATTGTTTTCCTCCTAAGTTAATATTAAAATTAACTTTCCATTCTTGAATGCAGAGTAACTGATTGTAGAGAGATGATCTAGCATTTCAATGGATGGAGAATAGAAGCTGGTCTAGGATTACATTTGGATTTGGATAATCCATATTTAGATATTTAGAAATTGACCATATTCTCATGTCATCAATGTTTTTGAGCCAAGATTATTATTATACTATATCAGAGTCTTTTACCCTAGGGTTCCTTGTCCCAGACATTCCCCTCTCCATTTCTTCCTTGGTCACATAGACCAAATATAGCTCCCTTAGAGGTGGGGGTGGCACCGCGATGGTCAAAATTTTATGGGCTACTTATGTGCGGGTAGGGTGGAAGTGGTAGGGGTGGAGTGGAGGGGGAAAATATTGGGGCGGCAACAGCAGTGTTCCCCAAAGACAGCTTTAAGACACTATGGTTTATATAAATTTCTTCAGGTGTTGGTTTATAAGGAGATAAAAGAGAAAGATTTCATGGTGTGGTAGGAAACAACTATAGGATGAATGTCAGAAGACCTTGGTTTCAGTTTTGCCTCGGTATTTGCAGTCCCTTGATCTTTTTGAGACTCAGTGTCTTAATATGTGAAGAGGGAGTAATAATACCTGCCTTACCTACCCCCTGGGATTGCTGTGAAGATCAGGAGAGATAATATATGTGAAAACATTTTGAAGTTTATAAAGTATTATACAAATGTAAGATGTTGTCTATTGCTTTAGAACTTAGAATACTTAAGAGATTTAAAGAAATCTACTGCAGTCATAAAGCAGATTAAGATGAAAGAGTTGGTGGAACTCATCATTACTAATAACAAATTTACTCAAAATACATGCCCATGGTGTTATCTCTGTGAATTAAAAAGCACGTTTTTTCCCCGTTTCCTGTGAGAGTGTCCTTTTGGAATGCTCTGTGAACGGCACTTAGAGTTTCCGGTACTCCCAATCTGCTTCTTGTGAGTCCGCCATCTACCATCTGCCCCCGAGCTTCTGGGCAGCCAGATTGCCGCCTGAAATCAGATCATTCCCACTCTCCCTCCAGAAGCTACATTTCTTTTTCTGTGAAAAGGGCTACTCGTGTTAATAACTCAGCAGCTCCTGTTGGTAGAAGGTAGAAGTACACTATGGTGACATAGAGGCAGGAGAGGGAGCTCACTTTCTCTGATTCATGACCTTGAGTATATATCCCATGTACGACTGTAGGTTTTTTAAAGGGTGGGGGTCATATCTTACACTTTATGTTTAACCTTCAAGTTAACCGTGTCTTACACAGTGTAGATACTTAGTAAATACTTGAATAGATGTGCTAAGAAATATATCAGGCAACTTGCTTTATCAGGGCTTTTCATCCTAGATTATTAGATTATTTATTTAAAGAATGAATATTCTATCTCAATATTTAAACCTGGGGTTATAGTGAAGACCTGTTCTGAGTAGCATCTGCCATTTGACAGCTTTCTTGCTTTTCTCTTTATATTACTCTTAAGCAGGTGCCTGGGTGGCTCAGTGGGTGAAGCGTCTGCCTTTGGTTCAGGTCGTGATCCCAGGGTCCTGGGATTGAGTCCCACATCGGGCTCCCTGCTCAGCAGGGGGTCTGCTTCTCCCTCTGCCCCTCCCCCTGCTTGTGATCTCTCTCTCTCAAATAAATAAATAAAACCTTTAAAAAACCGATTTTATATTACCCATGCCCTATTTGGGACTGGATTTGAATGTGGGAATATGTACAGGACAAAACAAGGAATTGAATTGGATGGAGAAAGAAAATCTAGTCCTTGTTGTGGAATTTAAAAGAATGAGAATGAGCCCAGTGACGAAATCACAGTTGAAATTTAAAATTTCTGTTATTAATGTCATATAATCTATACTGTCATATATATATATATTTTTTTACCACTAGAGATTCTAGTAAAGGATTCTGACAAATTGGAAGTAGTGAGCAAAGTTGAAGCATCTTCAATTCATAATCAAGCTATATCTTTTTAGGATATTGGTATTAACGGTCATTGGCATTTCTTAATATGTTCTCTCTCTAAGATTTTATTTTATTTATTTGAGAGAGAGAGTGAGAGACAGAGCATAAGAGGGGGTAGGGTCAGAGGGAGAAGCAGACCCCCCAGTGAGCGGGGAGCTGCATGTGGGACTCCATCCTGGGACTCCAGGATCATGACCTGAGCCGAAGGCAGTCGCTTAACCAACTGAGCCACCCAGGCGCCCCCCCCCTTTTTTTTAACTTAAAATTATAACAGCATCAATTTAAAAAAAAAGGTGCATCCATAATTCCACCATCTTGATACTGTTGTTTTTACATTTATCTTCCAATCTTTGTCCAATGTATGGGTGTTTTACATATTTGCATTTCTCCAGTGCATACTATTTTCATTCAGAATTGCCCTGGGAGTATTATATCTGCCAGATGGGGGCTCAAAATTTCCGGGGGCCCCCAAGAATCCTAATCTATGCTGCTGTAGAAATTGACCAGAATGGTTTGACATTCCTCTGGGGAAAGTATGTTCCCATTGGAGGCTGAAGCAGAAGGTGACTATGGGCTGTTCAGACACCAGAGATCCAATGGAAAAGGAACAAAGATTAGTTTTTATAAGTAGAGAAGTAGGTAGATATTTAAGTAAAATAATTTCAGATGCCAAGAAGGTCTCTCTTTCCACCTAACCAAAATGAACAGGAAACAAAAAATAAAAACCCAAAGTAAAAATCACCATAATAAAATCACCCTCTCACTAGTTAACAAATAGTTGAAATTAGTTTAAGAAAGCCATAACGGAGCGCCTGGGTGGCTCAGACGGTTAAGCGTCTGCCTTCAGCTCAGGTCACGATCCCAGGGTCCGGCTCCCTGCTCAGCGGGGAGCCTGCTTCTCCCTCTGCCTCTCTCTCTCTGTCTCTTATGAATAAATAAAATCTTAAAAAAAAAGGAAAGCCATAACGTTTAAGGCGGCTAATTTTAAATATTAGAAGTTGAGATAAGTTTTACTAAAAGGGCAAGAAAAGATGGTAGTGTCTTTGATAGAAACGGGGAATAAGGAGCATGGTACAGCCCTTATGCTCTTTTAAGGAAAAAAAGGTAGTGGGTGGGTGTTGGGAGAAAAAAAAAAAAAAGCTATAGAACAGAACAAACCTCATCAATTCCTAATTTTGCCAGAATCAGAATTTTGCCAGATTACAGAAGAGAGGAAATGGACAAATAGAAATCATCTGAAAACGGCAACAGAAATGAATCTTGCTGGACGAAGGTTGTGGAAAGTCCTTCCTAGAGGACTCTGGGGATCAAGACTGACACCCCTGTCTGGAGAGTGGTTTAGGGCAGGGGTAGGCCTTGACTGCAGGCCAGGAGGGCGTCCTCCCGAGGGTCCCCAGCGGCGCTCACAGCGGCGTGCGGGGCAGTGGGCGGCACCGCGCACAGGTGGCCGGGCAGCGCCAGCTGCGCGCCGCGCTCGCTCCGGGGGTGGGCCGCCAGGCGTCGCGCGGGAGCCGCGGTTGCCCGGGAGACCGAGGAGCTGGGCGAGTGGGCGGCGCGGAGCCGAGGGGAGCCGGGCTGCGGCCGGACTAGCTGGGCGAGAGTTGGGGGGGGGAGTGGCTCCCCCGGCGGCGCGGCGGGCCGTCGGGTCCTGGGCCAGCGCGAGGTGGCCGCGGCGCTGCGGGACGAGGCCGGCGAGCCCGGGACGCGCCTGGTCGTAGCTTAGCGTCGGCGAAGCGGGGCGGCGCGGGAGCGCCACTTGTCACCGCTGCGCGTCCCACGGTCCCGGCCCCTCCGGGCGGACCCGACTGCCCCAAGAGCACCGAGAGCCCGGCCCGCGTCTCCGCCGTCGCGACGAGGAGCCGGGCGGGCGGCGGGCGCGCTCCCCGCGGCCCCGGGATGACTTCTCCGGGCTCTCCGTTGGCGCCTCTGCTGCTCCTCTCTCTGCACGGTGAGTAGTCCGAGCCCTCTGCTCCCGGTGGGGCCAGGCTGGACCGGCGGGCCCGGGGAGACCTGTGCCGGGTCCTGCGAGCCCAACTTTGCCAGAGGCCATATTGGTCGCTGTGGGCCGGGGCTCACGCGCCCACCCGCGCCCCCGTCCCGCCCCCCGCGCGGCTCAGGTGTCCCAGATCCGAGAGGTAACTGCACCCGCTGCTCGGTTTCCGCTGATCCCGGGCCGGCTTCTGACCCCGCTGTGCTTTTTAAGTAACCGCTCCCTCACTTACTGGGTCCAGGGAGAAACAGTATTTAGAATCAGTTTCCGTTATCCGGCAGCCCCAGGAAAAATGGAGGTGCCTTTAAAATAATTGAGAAAACTTTAAATTGTAGCTTTACCCTAACCTTTAACAAGCATAGGCAGGTTTGACTGAAAATGTGATCTTTGCTTTAAAAACAACTATACAGTGTGCTACATTATGTTCGAAAACAATATATTTTTTCTACTCTAGCTTCTTCCCCAAAGCATTTAAATTGGCTTACAGAAATACATAGAGTATAACAATATTGGAACAAAAAGACTAAACGTGTGCTTAATTTTCTTAATGTTTAAAAAAACGATTTCATTTTCTACTCTCTAATCTTTCTTACATTTTATTTTCTATGAATAGCCATCATATTTAACTCTGATTTTTCTCTTATACAGTGCCTTTTTCTTTTGTGAGTGCACTGTCCTTGGAATCAAGTTTTCTGTCCCATTTAATTGATGAGATTTATTCTGAAAGTTTTATTTAATGAGCAGGCTCAGTGGTTTATGGAATATTATGGTTAACCTTGTTTGTTTCTGGAGATACCAGTATGTTTCCCATAGTTTTGTGGCCTTATTTGAACTGATGATGTACCCATGGATCTTGAAGTAACTTCATTTTAGTCGACTTAAATTTTTCAAATTTATTTAGTAGGGGAGAAAGGAATACAAAATTTCATATATTTTTTCCATAAATGCCAGTGAAGGAAATAATCAAAATTACAGGTAACTTTCTTGGAGTTCAGTAGGTATATATTTGGGGATGATGTGTAGACAATAATTAAGTGACATGAGTATGTGCTTCCAGATTAATTTTGTCTGGTTACCCGTTTGAAGGGACTGGCATTTTTCTCTGTTCTACTTCTTTCAAGTGTGAAATAATTAGAGTAAATGAGCTTTTTTGTACAATTCCTTGGATATAACTGAAAAATGGTATATTACTATAAGAGCAGCTGAAATTTTGCTAAAAATAATCTGTTCTTAACCTTCATCTATTATAATAGATGCTGCTCTCTTTTTGTAAATAGCATTTGTGTATAGTTTGTTTTTGAATTATTAGGCAGTACTTTTAAAGAGTTGATGTAATTTGCAGAAGCAGCCTTAGAAGGTCATCTGATTTGTTTCCTTTCCTTCAGCAAAACTATTCCTCAGCTATCCTAGGATGTTTTTAAAGACTTCCAAGGACAATTCAGCCTTCATGATAATCTATTCTGTAGAAGTACTTTTCACCCTCAGAAATGAACAGTTATGTTCATGTGTTCAACAAATGTTTGCTGAGCCTACCAGTCTGAATTTGGGTGTCTGGTGGGGAGGGATGGTGGAGGACAAAGATGCACAAGAGATTGCAGCCCTTAAGGAGTTTGGGGTTTTAAAACAGGCTGTAAGCATGTAAAATGATTAACGATACAAGGAATGTATGATGAGTACCATTTATTAAGGGTGATATCAAGGAAGACTTGACAGAAAAGTTTACTTTTGATCTGGACTTTGAGTAAGATTTGAACTGGCTAACATGGGAGTTGTTGGGCCTTCTTTCCTAGTCAAAGGAACAGCCTGGGCGAAGGATGTGAAATGGAAAGTGCAGGGGCATATTCTTGAAAGGCCAAGTGTGTAGCTGCTAGAGCAGGAGATGTGTGCAAAGGAGAAAGGGCTAGAAAGGTAGTAAAAGAATAGTAGAGAGCCTTGAATGCTGAATTTGGGATTTATTCAGGAGGCCATGGGAAGGCCACTGTTATTCAGTTTCCTTAAGATGAAGAGGGGGAGGAGGGTGAACAGCTATGTGTGCCTACTTGTGCCTAGCATAACAGTCTCCAGGAGAAGACCATGTCCTGACTGCCGTTAAGTACTTGAAGTAAAAGGCAAAGTTGTTTTGAATGACTTAGGGCCCATCCCTAGGACTTTAGAATGAAGGGAAGGGGTGGAAACCTGAACGAAGTGGCTTCATTATGAAGGGGGAAAAGACACGGAATGCTAAGTAGATAACCATTGTAGCATTGGCTACTGTGAAGTCTTGAAGCATGAAAGGTAGAGAGTCTCTTACATTTTTGAAAGAAAATGGATGTCAAGAGATTTCTGTTTTTATTTTTGTTTGCGTTTCTGTGGAGTAACTTAAAAGGGAATTTGAACTGAAAAGTTGACTTCTATGTAGTCCTACCAATAGGTTAGATACATTTGAAGCGTTTTTTGTGCTACTTGTGATTCATTGAAATAGCAGATAATTTTCCAGAATCTGAGAAAATCTGTAAAAAAAGAAAAGATCACATAAAAATGAAATGAAAATGAAAAGAATTATGAGCCTAAATACTAGCATTCTGAAAAATTTCTTGTGAACTTCGATTTCTTAGCTCTAACTTGAATTATGTAACTGCTTTGGCAGGAGACACTTTTTAGTAAAAAATCTGTAGTTTGGCCTACATGAAAGGTGACAGCCACTGGATGAAAACTTTAGAGAAATTAAGCGTAATACACTGTATTTTCAATGCAGACTATTGAGGAAGGAATTTAAACATTAAGTCACCAAGTGCTTCTAAAATGTTATGCTTAGAACTGTTGTCAGACTCAAGGTAATGATGCAATGGGTAAAGATTTTTCCCCCCAGTAACAGTATGTGGCACATTTTCAAATGTGTTTTCACGCTTTGATAGTGGAAGCATTTATAATGAAAAGTCTCATTTGGATCTTCATACTTAAACCGTGTGATTTAGTGCCAAACAAGGTGATGTGCTGGGACACAAGATTCTTTAGTTGCAATGAGTTCTACAGAACAGGGGACTGGAAATACTAGCTGGTTTGGGGAAATCATGGCACTCCCACTGAAATTCTGATCTACATTAGTTCATTTAGAATAAGGATTCTGAATTTATGTTATCGACACTAGTGATATTTTAGGCAGTTGGAGGTAAGATTGCTGCATTTCTGGTAGTCCCTTCACTTCAAGTACCCCCTCCTTTGTTTGATAAGAACTGTCTGGCATGCATATATCTCACCCTTGCATTTTGAAGTTGTCCCTTAGACCATCTGGAGGCTCTGATATCCTCCTTCAATTATAATTGAGAGTAACGGGTTTCAGAGGGGTTGTCAGTTCTTGGGTGGTGTTCAAAACACCATCTAATTTGAGGTGAATTTGGTCTTAAAAGTGGAAAGTTAATTAGTTACTTATTAGTTAAGCTGATTTACCTAAACTGTGGATTTTTTTTTCTTTCTATTGAAGTTTGGGTAATTGATTCCCTCTGTACCGGGTTTCCTACCACCTAAGAAAGAGTAGTTTACATTTGTGAGGATTTAAAAAAAAAAATGAAGTCAGCCAAAGAAATAAAATCTGTTTCCTAATTTCACAAATGATAGACTCAGCCCCTGATCTGGTACCAGTTCATCTTCACCATCGTCGGATACCACAGAGGTGCTATATGGTGGGACTCTGCCTCACATATATATTATAGGAAGATCATATTTTAGCAAATATTATTACAATTTCTATGTTTTTAGAAAAGGATTAAAAATACAAATTTGCCAATGTGAAAAAAAGGTCTGTTCAATAAAAAAAAAATTCTTAGAGGAAGTCTACTTACTGGTTTCCCTTCATTTAGCATTTTGATTTTGAGAGGTAACAAACTGACAGTATTAGATGCACACTTTTATTTTAGAAAAGCGTTGCCAGTAAAAAAGTTGAGACACCAGAAGCACTGAGTTCAGGAAATTCTTGTACTATGTAGAGTTCTTTGGAAGAATCTTCAGAGAATTTGGTTAAAATCAGAAGCTGTGAATGATAGTGGACTGGTTGAAAATTCAATGCTGTTTTTTCATCAAGTGTCACAACTGTGTAATAACACAGTGTGACATTGTGAATGTAACTCGAGTAGAATGGGGCCACTTCTAGGCCAGTCTTGAAAGACTAATTAATCTAATATTTTTAAAAATTGGAAAGAGGTTTAAATCTTTCTGAAGTTTGTTGAAGATCACACCAGTGGAAATTTTTAACAGATGTCCTAGTTTAGAGAGCCCCTTACCCACCTTTGTCTAAAGCCTCTCCCTGTTGACAGTAGTTGCTCACGTGAAAACGTCTTTCCTTTCGCTCTCATATTCTCACTAATGTTGATTCTTTCCTGCCCTCTTTCCTCCTCATCTTCTTCCCTTTTGGAGGATGTTACATTGTTCTATTAGCATCAGGTTCTTTTAAGGTAAATACAGCTAGCCATTCATGGCTCCTTCCAATGACTTAGCTCTACCTATTTCAAGGATATATCAACCCTGGAGTCCAGCAGGCCGACCAGGAAGTCACTTTCGAAGCTGGGCATTGTTGACGTTATGTGAGCATGTGGATGTAACTCTATGCTAGTATTTTCCCCCTCGTTCCATGAAGTTAACTTTATGATACAATTCAGTGTGTGTGTATAATATGTATATGTATATATGTATATTTTCTCTAAAAGACAGTACCAGACCTGGTACAGAGTAAGTGTTCAGTAGATACTTGAGAATGACTGAGTGGTTACTCATATAATTGGTAATCCTGTGTGTCTGCAGTACCCGAAAAGAATGCCCCCCCCTTTTAAAGAAAAATAATTTTTGCTAAGGATTTTTTAGGGATTTAGTGTGACTGTGTCAGCTTCAGTTTATCTTTAAACCTTAGTGTATATTTTGTGGAACAGAGGTGATAGAAATTTATTTTCATAGACTTTTTAGATTCTATGACTTTGGAAGTTAATTTA